ATGTTCATCCTCAGCCTGACGGATTCGGATCTTCATCGTCAGACTGATGGATTCCGATGTTCATCCTCTACCTCAGGTATTACGATTTTTATCCTCCACCTGTTGTATTCAGGTGTTCATCCTCCACCTAAAGGATTAGGATGCTAGTCCTCCACCTGATGGATTCCGATATTCATCTTTAACCTCATGGATTTCGAGGTTCATCCTCAGCCTGACGGATTCATATGTTCATCATCCATCTTAGGTATTCATATGTCCATCCTCAACCTGATGGGTTCCGATGTTCATCGTCAGTCTGATGTATTCCGATGTTTATCCTCCACCTGATGTATTCTGATGTACACCCTCAGTTTGATAGATTCCGATGTTCATCCTCCAACTGATGTATTACGATTTTTGTCCTCCACCTGATGGATTCCGATATTCATCCTTAACCTCATGGATTTCGAGGTTCATCTTCAGGCTGACGGATTCATATGTTCATCCTCCACCTTATGTATTCATATGTCCATCCGCAACCTGATGGATTCCGATGTCCAACCTCAAGCTGATGTACTCCGATGTCCAACCTCAACCTGATATACTCCGATGTCCAACCTCAACCTGATGTATTCCGATGTCCAACCTCTACCTGATGTACTCCGATGTCCAACATCAACCTGATGTATTCCGATTTTCATCCCCCACCTGATTAATTCCGATGTTCATCTTCAGTCTGATGTATTCCGATGTTCATCCTCCACCTGATGTATTCTGATGTACATCCTCAGTGTGATGGATTCCGATGTTCATCCTTAACTTCATGGATTTCGATGTTCATCTTCAACCTGATGTATTTCAATGTTCATCCTCCATCTGATGGATTCCAATGTTCATTCTTAACCTGATGTACTCCGATGTCCAACCTCAACCTGATGTATTCCGATTTCCATCCTCAGAGTGATGTATTCCAATGTTCCTCCCCCACCTGATAAATTCAGATGTTCATCCTCAGCATGATTGATTACCATGTTCGTCCTCCACTTGATGGATTCCGATGTTCATCCTCCACCTGATGTATTCCAATGTTTATCCTCCATCTGATGGATTCCGATGTTAATCTTTAACCTAAACGATTTTGATGTTCATCATCAGATGGATGAATTCCGATGTTTATCCTCCATCTGATGGATTCCGATGTTCATCCTCAGAGAGATGGATTTCGATGTTGATCTTCAATCTAAAGGATTCCGATGTTCATCCTCCACCTGATGGATTCCGATGTTTATCCTCCACCCGATGGATTCCGATGTTTATTCTCCACCTGATGGATTCCGATGTTAATCCTTCACCTGATGGATTCCGATGTTTATCCTTCACCTGATGGATTCCGATGTTCTTCCTCCACCTGATGGATTCCGATGTTTTTCCTCCACATGATGGATTCCGATTTTTATCCTCCACCTGATGGATTCCGATGTTTATCCTCCACCTGATGGATTCTGATGTTTATCCTCCACCTGATGGATTCCGATGTTCTACCTCCATCTGATGGATTCCGATGTTTATCCTCCACCTGATGGATTCCGATGTTCAATAATGGTAAGGAATACGTAACATGGACATAACCATCAGGCAGTAAATACTCTTTATCAAGCATTAATATAACACGTTATATTTTCATTGAATTTAAGTTTCAAATTTTAAAAGTGATCTAGTTAATGCGCCTGCTCCCACCATGCAATATCCATACACATTATTATGCTTCCATACGATGTTTTGAATGATATATTGACCGTGGGTAGATTGGGCCTTTCCTCTTCACTGCTGCATTTTTAATGTAATAGAGGAAATTGGAGTGAGAAATCATCTACTTGGTTAACGTGGATAGATGAGTTCTGATCTCCTCCATCGACTGTTGCTCAATGTGACATGAAAATTGCAGCGGAGAATGCTGGCTGGCATTGTGCCGATTGGTAGGCAGAGTGAAGGAGACAATCACCATACTTGTTTGTTTCTTATATGGTTTCGTACGTTAAAATCGATTCCGCTGGAAATGCAGCAATTATTCATTGGCGGGTGACGCCATCTGCTCAACACCAATCATATCAAAACGCCCAGGTTTTGAACAAGAAACTCAAGGGGACTATAGCGCTCACCTTGTTTGGCGTGACAGAAATTGCATTATCCAAACTGATGCAGACACGTCATTTATACAAAACCTTCCAACTAGTACCAAATGTTGCCATAAAACCTTCATCTCCAAGAAAAGAAAGAATTTCACTTTCGCATATTTCCCGAATCTGGCCAAGCCTCATTGTCCCAAGGAGGACATACAACCGGTTAATCAAACCAAATGGTGAATCTGATCAAAATTCAACAAAAGCGAGATTTTAAACGTTTTCTTCTATTTTTGTTTTTGTTATGCCACAATCTAAAAAGCACTACCAATGATTGAAAATTTAAATGAGGTTACAAGGTCAAGTGACGTCATAGTGATACTGCGACTGACCATACATGGTATACTTATGTTGACATTATACATTTTTTCAAAACAAAAGCTTCATAATGATTCACAAGTGTCACAAGATAGCAATCATGATTGGATGATGGGCATAATCCATGAAGCAGAAGGAGGAAAAGATGCGCGGTTTATATCGATTGTGGTTAACTTTAGGAACTGATAATCCTATTATTATGTAATTCAAAAGCATGACCATCTGTTATTGTTCAGGTGTTTGTAGACATGGATTAAGTAGTTATGCCGCGTCATCTAATACAACCATACATTTCTAATTTGATAATTAAGTGTGGAGGTTAGTGCACATCCTTATCCCAATTTTGACCATCTTTCGAACACTTTGTATTTTCCTTAGTCAACATCTAAACTTCAAAATTTAGGCCCAAAGCATCACTGGCTAGTTCCTCAAGAACAAACACCTGTATGATACATTTTAATTCATTATTTGTCTCTATTGTATCTAACTTTTGTTTCATTTCGAGGTGCTATTCATTTTGTGCAATCTTCGAGATTGCATGTGGTAGACACTACTTGTGGACATTTAGTCCAAGAGGTTTGCCGTAACGTCCATGCTATGTTTAAATCCATTCGAATAGTGCCAATGTTTGGAACAGACACATGTGCTTGACGTTGTTCAAAAGTATAAAGTATATACAACAATATTGAACTATGGGGATGCTGTACCTCCCAGTCTAGCTTTTGATTTTTCTTCCGATCAACGTGGTATTTGTCTCAGTCGCCTCCTGTGCTTCAAACTTGAGATTCTTAGCATCGCTTATGAGTCCTAAAAGGACGAAACAGCTGTATGATGCAGTTTTATCAATTGTTTGGCTCGGCTGTATCTTATTCTAACTCTGAATTAATATAGAAAGGTGTTACTTACTAGTGTGTCTGTTGACTCTGTGTTAAGGAATACCAAATCATCAGTTTGGTTTAAACGGTGTTGTTTTTAGAAAAAATAATGATAGACTTAATAAAATCAGAATGTGAATACGACGAATAATGATCTGAGTTAACCAACTCCCTGATGTAGTTTTCCACCAAATCCACAGTCAATTCCAATTATTTTTGAATTTTTTTGGTAACTGGTAGATCGACGATAGTTCAATATTCATCAAGTTGGGCAACAGTTGAAGAAGCAGGTAGGATAGGAGAAGGGAAGTAGTTTCTATGTCATGCTTTGAAGCGTTGACTTAAAATTAAAGAGCTATTAGGTTTCGAGCAAAAGTATGAAATGTTCAGATGTATTACTAATTTTAATTTCATGTGATCCTTTGTTTGTAACTTATACTTTCATAAATTACCGGGTTGTTGGGAGTGCAGCAGGTACAGTTGTGGGATCATACAGGGTTACACGATGTCTGAACGGTGTCTGCACGATGTTTACACGATGTCTGCACAATGTACACTAAATGTCTGCACGATAGGAAAATCTGACGAAATAGGCTATCTCACATTTGTGCACATGTTGTGCGGTTCCATCGCACAAATGTGCGATTCCATAGTGGTTGTTAAAAAAATATGTGTGGGATAGGGTTTATTTATTTTCTAAATATATAAGAATACAAGTATTTTTCTAATTAAGCCATTGATACATAGGTTGGACACTTGTAAATATATCAGATACACACTGAAAAGGTACATGTACTCGTAGTTTAATGTATTTTGTTTACAAAGAAATGTACGTTACCAACCTTAGTGTACGGACATCACACATTATATATACATTATGTATGTAAACATTAAATGAACGCCTCTTTATATTACAGCAATTACAGCAAATCCCAAAATTTTGTTTTCATAATTTTTGTATTACTTTCATTTTTCATTCATCTTTTAAACAAAGAATATATGCTCGGGTAAATCTAAGTGTTGTGTTTGTTACACGGGCGACCCAGCCGGTACAGATCCGGACCTGTCATGTATATGCCCGTATACAGGTAAACCCAGCCGGTATAGATCCGGACCTGTCATGTATATACCGGTATACAGGTATACCCAGCCGGTACAGATCCGGACCTGTCATGTATATACCCGTATACAGGTAAACCAAGTCGGTATAGATCCGGACCTGCCATGTATACACCCGTATGCAGGTAAACCCAGCCGGTATAGATCCGAACCTGTCATGTATATACCTGTATACAGGTTAACTTTTGTTTCCCGAAGCATCACTACTGACCACTCTCTCAGGTGTGAAACTATATACGATATGACTTATTAATGCAGGTCCAGTATTATTTCGAAAATTGTTGAATTGAAAATGACTTGTAATTACCGATTTATTGTAATGTTCATGTGATCACTATTCAGTAATAACGAATTATCCGTTTGATTTTCAATCCGTAATATAAGCCAACATTTTTTTCCAAACCCGAAAAAATTGTGCGACCTATCGCATGATTGTGGTCATGATAAAGTCACAACTGTCGGACGTTTCAATTTATTTTTGGTTTTGGAATAAGCGAAATGCATCAAGAATACACAGTAACATACAAACCTCTTGTTCCTCCAGTACCAGCAACTCTTTCTGGATCTCTGGGTCAAATAGTTCCTTGGGTACCTTGTCTATTCGCGAAATATCAAAATGACTGAAATAAGAAAAAGGTATGAGTCCATAACAGTACAATGTCTGTTAAATCAAGGTACCATACATATCAATAGGAATGATACTATACTGCTTTCTGTTAAATCAAGGTACCATACATATCAATAGGAATGCTACTATACTGCTTTCTGTTAAATCAAGGTACCATACATATCAATAGGAATGCTACTATATGTTTTCTGTTAAATAAAGGTACCATACATATCAATAGGAATGCTACTATACTGCTTTCTGTTAAATCAAGGTACCATACATATCAATAGGAATGCTGCTATACTGCTATCTGTTAAATCAAGGTACCATACATATCAATAGGAATGCTGCTATACTGTTTTCTGTTAAATCAAGGTACCATACATATCAATAGGAATGCTACTATACTGCTTTCTGTTAAATCAAGGTACCATACATATCAATAGGAATGCCACTATACTGTTTTCTGTTAAATCAAGGTACCATACATATCAATAGGAATGCTACTATACTGCTTTCTGTTAAATCAAGGTACCATACATATCAATAGGAATGCTACTATACTGCTTTCTGTTAAATCAAGGTACCATACATATCAATAGGAATGCCACTATACTGCTTTCTGTTAAATCAAGGTACCATACATATCAATAACAATGCCACTATACTGCTTTCTGTTAAATCAAGGTACCATACATATCAATAGGAATGCTACTATACTGCTTTCTGTTAAATCAAGGTACCATACATATCAATAGGAATGCCACTATACTGCTTTCTGTTAAATCAAGGTACCATACATATCAATAAGAATGCCACTATACTGCTTTCTGTTAAATCAAGGTACCATACATATCAATAAGAATGCCACTATACTGCTTTCTGTTAAATCAAGGTACCATACATATCAATAGGAATGCCACTATACTGCTTTCTGTTAAATCAAGGTACCATACATATCAATAAGAATGCCACTATACTGCTTTCTGTTAAATCAAGGTACCATACATATCAATAAGAATGCTACTATACTGCTTTCTGTTAAATCAAGGTACCATACATATCAATAAGAATGCTACTATACTGCTTTCTGTTAAATCAAGGTACCATACATATCAATAAGAATGCTACTATACTGCTTTCTGGTGGACGTTTAGTCCCCAAATTTGCAATTAACCTCCATGCCATGTTTTAATTCATTCGAATAATGGCGGGTTCAGAATATTCACGAGTTTGACGTTCTTCTAGAATCATCAGGTATACAATTACAATTATGAACAAAACGACATCTATTGAGTTATCGCACTAGCACCCAACCCCTTCTAAAGTTTGACGTTTCGTCGATCACTTTAAATATTTACTGACGAGTGGCGGAATAGTTGGGACCATTGCTTTGTCCTACTGAATCAGACTTAGTATTACAAGGTTCTAAACAAACACTTTAGTATCAACATGGTGATATACAAACGGTGAATTATACAGAGTCAATTATATATATATGTTTGTAACCATGGTAGCATATGTGTGAGATTTGGGCTATACGCAAATGTTGATAGAAATTTATACGATCAATTTGACATGATTTAGATACATAGGTCACAGTGTGTGATTGTACATGTTCGAGTTAAGTAGAATTGATTTTGGTTTCCATATATTAATGATATACATCCTCAATACTGAATTATTATGTTCGACAGAGTAAAATGTTTATCATGTAGTTATTGTGATTCTACACTAGTTTTCACTTGAATTTCAGGCATTAACTTGACATAAGTTGTTGTGTGGATGTTTTTTATGGAACGGGGTGCACATGCACTAATTGATGCATTGTTATCAAAAAATAGTAATATTTGATCCGTGGTATCACATGTGTGAGTAGCGCGAAGGGAATTTACAGATAGTGTTATTGTGGTATGGATTGTACACGGGAAAGTTGACATTTTGAAAATGTTCTCATTATGCTGAAATTAACTAAGATATAAGATAACTTAAACTACTTTAAACGTTTGAAAGTATACGTTCATATATTGGTAGAAAATTACATACCTGATAATACCTTTGATTTTCTGTGGTTTATATATAGGAACATAATTACATACCTAATCATACCTTATATTGTCTTTGTTTTATACTTTTGTAGTGAATTGCAAACCTTATAATACCTTTGATTGTCTTGGTTTGCATATAGGAACATAATTACATACCTGATCAAACCTTTGAATGTGTCTGTTTTCTATATAGGAACATAATTACATACCTGATCAATACCTTTGATAGTCTGTGGTTTGTATAAAGGAACATAATTGCATACGTGATAATACCTTTGATTGCTTTTTGTCTCTATATTGGTAGTTATCATATACCTGATAATACCTTTGATTATCTGTGGTTTATATATAGGAACATAATTACATACCTGTTAATATATTTGATTGTCTGTTTTTTTATATATATAGATAAATAATTCCATACCTGATACTACCTTTGATTTTCTGTGGTTTATATATAGGAACATAGTTACATACCTGACAATACCTCTGATTGTCTTTTGTTTATATATTGGTAGGGAATAACACACCTGATAATACATTTGATTATATAGTGTTTATATATTGGTAGAGAATGACATACCTGATAATACATTTGACTGTCTGTTGTTTATATATAGAAACATATTTACATACCTGATAATACCTTTGATTGTCTGTGGTTTATATATTGGTAGAGAATGACATACCTGATAATACATTTGACTGTCTGTTGTTTATATATAGGAACATAATTAAATACATGATAACACCTTTGATTGTCTGTGGTTTATATATAGGAACATAATTAAATACCTGATAATACCTTTGATTATATATGGTTTACATATTGGTATAGAATTACATACCTGATAATACATTTGACTGTCTGTTGTTTATATATAGGAACATAGTTACATACTTGACAATACCTCTGATTGTCTTTTGTTTATATATTGGTAGGGAATTACAAACCTGATAATACATTTGATTATATAGGGTTGATATATTGGTAGAGAATGACATACCTGATGATACATTTCACTGTCTGTTGTTTATATATAGAAACATATTTACATACCTGATACTACCTTTGATTATCTGTTGTTTATATATAGGAATATAATTGAATACCTGATAATATTATACCTTTGATTATATACGGTTTACATATTGGTAGAGAATTACATACCTGATAATACATTTGACTGTCTGTGGTTTATATATAATTACATAATTACATACCTGATAATACCTTTGGTTGTCTTTTGTTTATATATAATTACATGATTACATACCTGATAATACCTTTGATTGTCTTTGGTTTATATATAATTACATACCTGATTATACCTTTGGTTCTCGTTTGTTTATATATTGATAGATAATTTTATACCTGATAATACCTCTGATTATCTGCTGTTTATATATAGGAACATAGTTACTTACCTGATAATACCTTTGACTATCTGTTGTTTATATATAGGAGCATAATTACTTACCTGATAATACCTTTGATTGTCTTTAGTTTATATATAGGAAAATAATTACATACCTGATAATACCTTTGATTTTTTTGTTGTTGATAAATATGTACATGATTCCATGCCTTAAATTGGCGTTGGTTTATATATTTGGTAGATAATTACATACCGGATAACATCTTTAATTGTCTGTGGTTTATACATATGATCATAATTACATACAATATAATACCGTTTATTTTCCGTGGTTTATATATAGGAACATGATTACATAGCTGTTAATACCTTTGAATGTTTCTGGTTGATATAAAGGAACATAACTACATACCTGATGATACCATTGATTGTCTGTAGTTTATATATAAAAAAATAATTAGATACCTGATAATACCTTTGACTGTCTGTTCTTTATATATAGGTACATAATTACTTACCTGATAATACCTTTGACTGTCTTTTTTTATATATTGGTAGAGAATTAAAAACCTGATAATACCTTTGATTTTCTGTTGTTGATAAATATGTACATGATTCCATGCCTTAAATTGTCGTTGGTTTATATATTTGGTAGATAATTACATACCGGATAACATCTTTAATTGTCTTCGGTTTATACATATGATCATAATTACAAACAATATAATACCGTTTATTTTCCGTGGTTTATATATAGGAACATGATTACATAGCTGTTAATACCTTTGAATGTTTCTGGTTGATATAAAGAACATAACTACATACCTGATGATACCATTGATTGTCTGTAGTTTATATATAGAAAAATAATTAGATACCTGATAATACCTTTGACTGTCTGTTCTTTATATATAGGTACATAATTACTTAACTTATAATACCTTTGATTGTCTGTGGTTAATATAAAGAAACATAATTACATAGTTGATAATACCTTTGATTGTCTTCATTTACATATAGGAAGATACTTACATAACTGATCAAAACCTTTGAATTTTTCTTGTTTAAATTGGGTGAGTACTGGTCACAGTGTACAGAGGACCACAAAAACCAGCTCTGATAATTTTTTCTGGATTTTCATAGTTTTAGACAATTTTTGGGTACAACTTTTGGCAGAGGTGAATATGGAACTACTGTTCAACCTTTGGTGGAGTTAATTCTGGAAAACTGTCTTTAAAATTGGCAAAAAAAAAAAAAAAAAAACTGCATTTAAAACTTCTACACTGTGACCCATAGTCATGGCTGACTGACCACAGTACAGGACCACTGGCAACTACAGTGTATGTACAGGTAGCTTATATATAGACTTCAGCTAGTATTTTGTGTTGTGCCTAAACTATTATCACAATTGTACTGTGTTGTATAATCATGGCCACTTCAACCAGAAGTTACAGTAGTAGTAACACAAAGGGAACCTCCAAAACTGGAAATAGACTCAGTGAGGTGTTCAGAGGAAATCCAAATATGTCAACAGAGGAAAAGTTGGACAGTATTTTGAACATGGTCTCAAGCCTCAAGGATGA